TTTGCAAATGAAGCAACTGACAAAAGATTAATCTCCAGAATTTACAAGCTGCTCATGCTGCTCACTATCAATAAACAACCCAGTCCAAAAATGGGCAGAAAACCTAAATAGACATTTCTCCAAAGAAGATATACAGATTGCCAACAAACACATGAAAGAACGTTCAACATCATTAATCATTAGAGAAATGCAAATCAAAACTACAATGAGGGCTTCCCTGGTGGCGCAGTGGTTGAGAGTCCGCCTGCCGATGCAGGGGACACGGGTTCGTGCCCCGGTCTGGGAAGATCCCACATGCCGCGGAGCGGCTGGGCCCGTGAGCCATGGCTGCTGAGCCTGTGCGTCCGGAGCCTGTGCTCCGCAACGGGAGAGGCCACAGCAGTGAGAGGCCCGCGTACAGCAAAAAAAAAAAAAAAACTACAATGAGATATCCTCTCACACCAGTCAGAATGGCCATCATCAAAAAATCTACAAACAATAAATGATGGAGAGGGTGTGGAGAAAGGGAACCCTCTTGCACTATTGGTGGGAATGTAAACTGATACAGCCACTATGGAGAAGAGTATAGATGTTTCTCAAAAACTAAAAATAGAACTACCATATGACCCAGCAATCCCACTACTGGGCATATACCCTGAGAAAACCATAATTCGAAAAGAGTCATGTACCACAATGTTCATTGTAGCTCTGTTTACAATAGCCAGGACGTTGAAGCAACCTAAGTGTCCATCGACAGATGAATGTATAAAGAAGATGTGGCACATATATACAATGGAATATTACTCAGCCATAGAAAGAAACGAAATTGAGTTATTTGTCGTGAGGTGGATGGACCTAGAATCTGTCATACAGAGTGAAGTAAGTCAGAAAGACAAAAAGAAATACCATATGCTAACACATATATATGGAATCTAAAAAAAAAAAAAATGGTCATGAAGAACCTAGGGACAAGACAGGAATAAAGACACAGACCTACTAGAGAATGGACTTGAGGATATGGGGAGGGGGAAGGGTAAGCAGTGACAAAGTGAGAGAGAGGCATGGACATATATACACTACCAAACGTAAAATAGATAGCTAGTGGGAAGCAGCCGCATAACACAGGGAGATCAGCTTGCTGCTTTGTGACCACCTAGAGGGGTGGGATAGGGAGGGTGGGAAGGAGGGAGACGCAAGAGGGAAGAGATATGGGGATATATGTATAACTGATTCACTTTGTTATAAAGCAGAAACTAACACACCATTGTAAAGCAATTATACTCCAATAAAGATGTTAAAAAAAAAAAGCCTGTGGCCTTTGTGAAAATGTTCTTCCTTGCCCCGTATTGCATTATTGATTTGTTTCACATTTAAAGGAAAACACTAAACAATTGCTTTTTTTAGGAAGAGAAAATGCGTATTAAAGATTCAGTTTAGCTTTGAATACCTTGATAGGATACTGATAACTTTAAAGGCAAAACAGAATACAACATAGGATATCTTTGCTTTTCTCCCCTAAGACATCATTAGGCTTCATTAAATTATTGTAAAACTGTACAAAGTGAATTTTAGAGTTATGTTTCTAGTATTGAGTACTAATATTGAGGCAAAGTAATATTTTCAAGTAGAAAATTTAATATTAGCCACAAATAATTCCTACTTCTTCAACTCTCTGCAGATTCCAGTAGGAGATTCTTGAAAACAAATTTTTTTTTTTGTCAAAATGACAGAGGTCAGGTTCACCTCTTTTTCTCTTTGGAAAAGTGGTGTTACATGAACAGCATTCTTTTCTGAATACAGTTCACTAGTATACCATGGTTTACACATGATGAAAGTTAAAATAAGGTTACAAAATGTTTTATGCACTTGAGATATATAGATTTAATTTCATTAACTCAATAGTGCTTATTCAGGGAGTTGTTTTAAAGTTTTATTTAAAATATGATTTAGGGTAAATATTTGCTGTGTCTTCACTGTAAATGACAAATTAATTTTTATGTGGTTTAACTTACTTGAAAAAGTCTCTTGAGGTAATATGTAGACTTTAGGATTACAAGACACACACACACTAATAGGGAGATTGAAATCGATTGTTAAAGTAATGGTTTGGGATTCCCAAACTAATACTAATCTATATAGCATCTTTGTTTGGATTGAAAAAAAGTGACCTTTCCCAAAAGTAATTTTATTTTCTGTGTCCAAGCCCTACACTTCTTTATTTTGTGAGTATATTTGGAGATTGACTGATTTCTTTAACGCTAATAGAGGTATTTGTATTCGTTTTGTAGTTAGTTTTGAGTACTTACTTTTTTTCTAGAAAATGTGTCATTCTTCCTAATTCTATTAAGTTTAGTAAGTTTTCTTTTTCTAACTTTTAAGACGAGCACTTAGCTCATTTATGGTTAGTCATTTTGTTTTCTAACATGTTGTATTCTAGGCGGTACATTTCTCCCTAAATACCTCCTGATTAACAGAATCCCATGGGTTTTATAACAAACTGCTTTTGTTGTAGGGCAGTTTCAAACATTTCCTAAATTTCAATTCATATTTAGTTTCTGATCTGTGAAATAAGTATTTATTTATTTTGTTACCAAATGTATAATTTCAGTTCTCTTCTTGTTTTCTTTTTATGACAATATGATTATGAAATAAGGTTTATGTGCCAATTCTTAGCTATTCAGAACTTTTTATGGCAATTTAATAAATGCATCATATGTGCTTCCAAATAAATTGTATTCTATACTTATTGGCTGCAGTGTTCTATATGTGTACATTAGATCATGCTTCTTATTTGTGCAGTAAATCTTTTTATATATATATTTTATTTTTATTTTATTTTATTTTATTTTCTTCTTTGCAGCACGCGGGCCTCTCACTGTTGCGGCCTCTCCCATAGCAGAGCACAGGCTCCGGACGCGCAGGCTCAGCGGCCATGGCTCATGGGCCCAGCCGCTCCGCAGCATGTGGGATCCTCCCAGACCGGGGCGCAAACCCACGTCCCCTGCAGTGGCAGGAGGACTCTCAACCACTGTGCCACCAGGGAAGCCCTCTTTTTATATATTTTGAGAGGGATTTTGTTTTTGTTTTTTTGTTTTGTTTTGTTTTGGTTTTGTTTTTTGGTCAACTTGATCTATCAGCTTCTGAGGGGAGTATGTTAAAATCCCCCAGTCTGCCTACTAATTTTTCCACTTCTTATTCTTTTTTTTGCTTTATAAATGTTAAGACTTTGTACACAAGCTTAGGATTGTTACATCCTTACATGAATTTATCCTTATATTATCTCATATGATTAAATAATTACCTCAAAAATGCTTTGCGGGGCATAGAGCCAGTTTGAGTAGATATTAATATTACTAAGCCATATTCTTGCTATTATTTTCGGTATTAGTAGTAGTTGCATTTTCTACTTAATGTGCACAGAGGTATACTGGTAAATGTTTAAAAACTGGCTCTCTGTAACAAAATCTCTAATTTGTAACATTTGCTTATTTCCCTGGTGTAAATATTCTGTGTGGCATAATGCAAGCAATCAACATGAAAGAACTGAAGCTGATGTGAAGACTTGTGCACAGCAGCTCTGGAGAGCTCTTGAGAGACTTTGTAACCTGGCTCTAGCACATTACTGACAATACATTTTCTTTCTTTTTTCTCCTTTCCTTCCTTGTATTGGATTGACCAGATTTTTAAAATTCTCTTCCTTTTCCTTTACTGGAATGGAAGTTATACCTTTTATGTTATTAACTCTGTGATTACCCTTGAATTTTTTGCCATGCAGATTGATTTAAAAACTAACCAAGGGCTTCCCTGGTGGCGCAGTGGTTGAGAGTCCGCCTGCCGATGCAGGGGAGGCGGGTTCGTGCCCCGGTCCGGGAGGATCCCACATGCCGCGGAGTGGCTGGGCCCGTGAGCCATGGCCGCTGAGCCTGCGCGTCCCTCAACGGGAGAGGCCGCAACAGTGAGAAACCCGCGTACTGCAAAAACAAACAAACAAACAAAAACTAACCAATATCTCTTATCTTCTTGAATAATCTAAGGTATCTTAGGTTGCTTTAGTTCTGATCCCTTTTCCCTACTTTCATGTCATTCCTGTCTTGTATTTTAGTTCATGCTTTTTAAGCCTCTCCAAATTAGTCAAAATATCATTATTTAAGAATTTTAAGCTATGTTTTCCAGTGCCTCCTTGAGTTGTCATTATCATGTATATAGCAGCTGTTTTTAAACTGTGTTCTGTGGTTCCCATTGAGATCATAAAGGTGTCCTAGGGGCTGCTAATGTAGATGTGAGAGAGGCCAGATAGGCAGTATTCAAAGTTTCCACTTCAGTTCTAAACACCTGCCTCTTTTTGGCTGTTTTATTCCTAATACTCTTTTTTTCAACTGAGATATAAGGAAAATACAATAAAAATCATAAATGTTTGTATAGAGTTTGAACAAACGTATATACAGCCATGTAACTGCTACCCTGTAAAGGATAAAACCATCATTCAGCACCTGAAACACACACACATACACACACAGCTGAACTTTCTGCTTTCTTCAGGTGGGGGAACTATGTTGGTCAGGCACTGTCTCTAAGCAGAGCAGAATGCAGTCTTCCATAGCGTGTTTGGGAAGCATGACATTCAATAATTAACGTCACTGCAGTTCAGACATATGAATGATTTACCATTACTGTAGGTGGATAAGGCTTTCGGTGACTGGCTAGCACTCAGAATCATGTTCAGTGGAATGAGCCTCTTCCTGATGGGCTGCCTTTCAGAAGTGAAGGGCTTTTCTGTTTGGTTGCCTTGCCTAACCATGTTTACTGGAGTGAGTTGTCATTGGTTGATTAAGTACATTTAAAACTGGCTCTAGGGGTTAATTTTTATGATGACTGAAAGGCTGTTATTTATTTATTGAGGAAGTTAAAAATGAGTTCTGATTGCCCTTTTTAGCAAGGCAACAGAAGATCAGTTTTTTGGTTTGCTTTTTTCTACAATGCAGGACATTTTCTATTCATAGTTCTTTTTGGTTCTTTCACAGCCAACTGGAGTAAATAAAGCCCATCATGAATTGCTCAGCTCTTCCCCGGTGTAGTTGATTCTCCTTGAAGATGAGGTTTGTTTTCAGATCTCCTTTAAGATGAAGTTTGTTTGTGCAGGTATGATTTTTGGTTAGATTATTGATCAGCATGATTATATTATTCTGCTGTTGTCTTTGAGCTGTTTGTTGAATCATCTATCAGGACAGAAACTGCATACAAGCATTTAAGTTTATGGACAACAGATATTAAACAACTGTGAGAAAAATAAAAATAACTACGGGATGGAAAGGCACTGCAGAAATAATCCAAGGTTTTTCTAGGTTGCCCAAGAAAGCAGATCCCAGTGACTCTCTGAGTCTACTTTAGGTAGCCAGGTTGACTTTCTTTTTCATTTAGATATAGATTGATTCATTTTATGAGTAGTGTTAATTCAGATACAATAGGATAAGTTAGTAACAGCACAGATTTTCCCTGAGGAGCTAAAAGAAAATCCTATGTTGTCCAATGATTTATATAAGGAATTTAAACTTATTTCTGTGCTATATTACTTATTACAATATTCAAATTATAGAACAGACTTTTTATGCCTACCTAGAGTTGCCTAACTACTCTGTGGTCTGTTCCACTAGTTATTATTTCTCTACAAAGAACTTCACAACTTTGGGATCTTTATAAATCTGAAGGCCAACAGAAGATATTCGGGAGTCATCCACTTGGGGAAGCCTAACTAATAGCCTTGCAGAACAAAAAGCTGTGGTTCTCTGTGAACACTGAAGAGCATTGCTTTTCACACAAGATGAAGAATACAGGTGCTTCCTGAGAGAAGTGAACAACTTTTGTGAAGCTGTAAGTATATTGTTTTTAAGGTGTTGTTAAGACAGTCATATTTTCATCCCCAAAATATCTTATCCCCTTTTTCTGGTGCCCTAAACTTGTATTATCTACAAGAGATTCATTATTAGTAAAGTCAGTGTAACATACCTTAACTTAGTTTTTTTTAAAATTAGGTGACCAGCAATCACTTGGAAGAGCTATTAAAGAGTTATGGAGGTAATTGGTTCTAGTATATTTTAAAAATAAGCAAGTTTATATTATTATAAGAGGAACATGGTAGGAAAAATCAGAAGTGTATAAACTTGTAAGGAAAAAGACACAAATAAAAGGATAATAAAAGTGTGCAAAGGAAAGTGTAACAATCAGTGGTTTCAGGTATTTAGGAGGATCTGGTTTTGGTGGTGTTGAATGTAAGCTCTGTCCTGTCCATTGCCATTATTTATTCTGAGGATCTTGGGCTAGCCATAGACTTTTGTGGGGTTTCCTGAAAATCTTCCACTATTAGGACTTAATTAGTATAACTTACCAATTCCAGTTAAAATGCTTTCTGTTATTCTAGCGGTTTCACAGTAATGAAGACAGTGAATATTTTTGAGCAGGGGACAAATCCTTGTAGAATTCATGAATAACTGCTGGTAAAATGGCCCCCTTTTACTGAATAGAATGGTTAAAATGTTCTACATTGAGAATAGGGTATTCAGTCTTTTAGCTACAATCTGTGCTGTGGTTGTTTTAACAAGGGAGTATTTCAACCCTCCAGAAAATAAGCATACTATTATTTGTGCATATTCATCACCCAGAGGGAAGTCATTTTATAAAATTCAGTTAAAAATGCTCAAATGTTCTCTCAGAGCATGGTTCCAGTCTATGCCTTGCTTTTACACTTTTTCCCAGAATTATGTTACCTGTGGATGAGGCTATATTTTGTTATCCTTAAATATTTTATCCATCAGTGTTTTTAATATTGTGGACATTTTCCCCTTACTGGGATGGATTGGATCATCTGGTGGAGAATTTTGACAAGTGTTCATTTCAAGTTTTATCGGATGCTACCTCGTGATCATCCTGGCTTTGCCAGACCTTAGCCACGTGGGTCTTCCAATATGATAGCTCCCTCTGTTTCCTTTCATAATTTAGAAGACAAATTTAGGGTACCTAGGATGGACTATCTGAACCCCTCCATGGATTTGACAAGTTCCATGGGCGGTTTCCATGAAAGGACTTCAGTCAGAGCAGACTTTGTAGCAGAATGGTCGGCTAAAGCATCTCCTCTATGTGCTGTTTTCATTGTATTCTTCTTTTAGGATGGTGTTTTTGTTTGCTTTGTTTTTCATGAAGACACTTTTGTTCTGATTCTATTTATTCACAGCTGCTATCATTATTTTTAGTTACTTGACATGTCCTAGAGAGGGCCACCACTGAGTGACCCGAATAGATTTGACTTCTGGTAAAGAATGGATCTTACAAGATGGAATAGACTAACTGTTGTATGTGAACGTGGTATTTCTTCATTTAATTAAAAAAAATTAAGCCAACCATCATAATTAGCACAACAAGAACAAGAACAGCAAACCAGGATTTGTTTTAAAATGTCCAAATGATATGTTCTTGTTATGGAAGCTGATAGAATTCAGAAACCAATCAGGAGATCCTCCTGCATTGGGGAGGGTAAAGGAATTGCTGAAATGATCTTATACCAGTCCAGGTGGAACCATCATATTTAATGGGAATTAAAGTATGATATATGAACATTTCTTTTACTAATTTAAAGACTGTAATTGCTCTAAACTTAAATATGCCAAAGTTTAGGGAACTAATAATTTAGCCCAGAAGGTATGCAGAGAACAAATATAAACACATGTGTTTTGGAAGACTATATATATATATATACATACATATATATATATATGTATATATGTATATACACTTCATTGAAAATGACATCCTAGTATGCTTAATATAAATTGTAGAAAGGTCCCCATTGTCTTCTTTTTGTCAAAAATCTCTAGAACATAAGCAATAATGATATTCTCCTTATAATGAGCTCACAAATCCTCACAAAGATATATACAGGCATACACACATATACAGTGTTTTGATAATTCTGAGAAATATTTCCTTATTTTGCTGTTAGTTGGGAAAAAATATTTTCTACTATTAATTCACATCTCATGGAATTGTAAAGAATTTTTCATATCATGGAGAGATGTAGCATGCACCTGCAGTATTTAGCCCATGTATTTGCATGAATCTTTTCCCTCCTCAGTAATATTAATAAATACACAGATCTCTCTAACAAACCCACTGTAAATCTGTTTTCTAACGCTAGTAAATTTTATATTTTAAATTGTTAGTCTTAAACTAAGATGATTACATATATGTATGATAACATTGTACACTTTAAACTTGACACAGCTTGGTTTTTTTGATATCCCATATTATTTACCCTTCTCCCCCAAACTAAAGGAAAATATAAACAACAACACATAAACAAAAGCTATGGCACTTTGTGGAAATAATACTATCCTCTTTTTCTTTATAGTTAGAATAATTATCATAATTTGTAATGCAGGGATTCTTCTATCTTACAGAAGAATATTTTCTTCTTATAGAAGAATATTTTCATGAATAATATATGAATAGTTCTAATTCTTTCACTGCAAAATAAGTCCTTCAGAAATCAGTAGCAATGATTACTTAGTGTCAAAATGTGTTAGTAAAAACAATATGGCCATATCATATAAGAAAATTTTTTAAGTTCTCAAACATCTAGCTCAAGGTTTCAGTATGTTTTACCCTCGAACCCTTGGTGTCATGGTGAAAACATGAAAAGATCTATAAGCAGGGCTGTGCTGACCCAGGTGGGTGTGGGTGAGGGTGACGTGGCAGTCCTCCACTGGGGAGGATAGTGTGAAAAGCACTAGTTCAAAAGGTTCAAGCTTTCAGCTAAAAACGTAATGCTGCAAGAGTGAAGTAGTGTTAGCAAAAGTTACAGAGCCTGGAAATTATTGCAGAAGCATCTGGAATTCATTAGAGGATCTTCAGATTTTCAGTAGCTTATGAATTATGTGAAGGGGATTGAGGTAGAGGAGGGAGATGAATTTAAAAGGAATGGCTTTTCCTTTGCACAGTTAGAGTTAATTCATCATAAAACAGTGTTAAATTTACACAGCAAAATTTGGAGACCAAGATTTTTAAACTGTAAACTTAAAATCGTGATTTGTGTTAGTGAGTTCCAGAGTCCTCCCAAAAAAATTCAACAAGGGATTTATTATCCCGGATGAGTTCCTTTACTTGAAATTGCTTCTCAAATTATTTAGAATGCTACCAATTGCTTAGTGCAGCACAGGTTAGGTAATTTGGATTTTAACTCAGAGAACAAGGTGGAAAAAGGGCCCTATAGAGCATTGCTGGCATCTGAGAGGGCAGAACAGGGGCAGGAGATGGCAGCGCAGGGCAGTGTCAGGAGGAGAGAGTCCAGATAAGATGTCACCTCAGCAGAGCACTAGGTCAGACCTCAATGGAGTTTGAATTTTGTATTCAAGAAGTGTGCCCTTGGTGCTATTTCTTACTTGTTTCATAATCGGTAAAATAAAGTGGGGATAATAATTGTAGAAGACTTGTAGGGTTCTACTGTGAAGACAGAAGACAGAACAGTGTGAAGTATCACTTCTGGTATGGCTATTACCCAAAAGGAAGGCAGAAAGACTGAAATAGGACTGGAGGGCATTGGAGATACATTTCACTCACTTTGCAATTTTGTTTGAGTCTGACTCCCCAAAGAAGAAATATTCGGGAATTCTGTTTTCTAATATCAAATGCAATGGGGAAGGATGCACAATAATATGGAACTGATCTAGAAAAGTTTGTGGTGGACAGTCCCCCAACTTGAAGATAATTGGGAAAACAAAAGAAAAACAAGATCAAAAGTCAATTCAAAGAAATCAGAAAAACTGAGTGCTTTGGTGGAAAAAAAGCACCCCCCACTAAGACATTTGTATATTTCCACTTTGGAGGACTAATGTGACAAACTCAATAAGCTGTTGTACAGGATATCAGTCTCTTCAGAATCTCATATCCAGGCTTCTGGGTGGCCTCTGTAGGAGTATTCCCAGGTGTCTTGGGTACATAACCCATTGCCTGCTTCCTGTGACCTGCCCTTGAATAAAATCACCACTTAGTAACCCATTATGGATGAAGTATATATTTTCCCCACAAAACAGTTTAATGTCGTTTACCAACTCTCATGCTCCTCCTCTGGGATCAAAGAAATATTTGATGTCACTATATCTGAGATAAGTATTATCACACATGGCAATGCCAAACCCTTCATAGATTTGGCATTAAGATATGCCCTAGTCCTTAATTTGTCCAGGTTAAAAAGTCAGTGTACTTAGAAACCAATTTAGAGCAATTCTCATTTTTTCCTCTATCCCACTGAAAAGTCCTCAGAGACACAATGGTAAACCTGCTATATGAAAAATTGACTGTTCAGCCTGTGATTCTCTTTTAATAAAAACTGTACAATGTTGAGCTAAAAAAAATATTCTTTGCTTCTACCCTAGAGGGAATGAGCTTAAGCTTAGGGACAAAGGATGGCAGGAAATGTTTAGAATACTTTTCCCAGATGGTAGGGTTTACTGGAAGCCGGGCACAAGTTTTCTTCCCTCTATATTGCTGTAAGTCTACATCATTTAGGTCAAGTCGGAAATTAATGAATTGCCCAGTGTCCATCCTTTAGCACAACTACATTAGCCTCTTCTTTTCTCACACAAAAATCCTCTTGTAAAATGACAACTGATTTCCATTGTGGGTTTAGATATGTTTCATGTTATCACCAAAACTTTGTAAATAATAGCTTTTATTCTTGGAATAAAATTTGTTTTAATCTCATAACTTTAGTGTTATGTTTGAAAATCATGAAGGGTCTGGAGCCCATTTTCTACATTTTTCTTTGGGAAGTGATATACCTCAATGATATTTGCATTTTGGGGGCTCTATTAAGATGCTTG